TACTACACACACACGCACTCGCATAACATTCACCCCGGCACATTCGGTGTGCTTATTGTTTTCCATGATTGTTCAATGGTTATTGTTGCTTTAAGATTGTTGTTTGATGTTCTTCCATAACTATGAAATGAACAAAATGTTTATTTAATGTTTCTTTTTTCCCTTTTTTTCTATGGACAATTTATAAATGATTGTGGATGTGAATCTGCCGTGTTGGAAACGTGAATTAGTGTGACGCAATTACTACACGGATTTCAAACTGGAATTGAACTAAAGTGCTGAACTGTTTTTTTTTTCCTCCGCTTATTTTTTCTTCTTTTGTTTCTTATTGTTCAGACAAGTTTTTTTTCTTTTTTCATGGACATTGTGGAATAAATCTCTCTTGTGAACAGTTTTCTCTGACTGTTTTTATTTAATATTGTAACAGGTGGTTTCCTTTTCTAGCTATCCTGGGTTAATTAAAACATTTTTTGTCAGGATTAATCCTGACTGGCGCCCGAACATTCTTTAACAAGTTTTGACACACGGCTGCTTGTCAACATTTGCAATGCCATAGGGTTGTGACGGGGTTCAGGTTGTGGCGCTTTCCATGGACCCCTAATGTCGTCATCGAAATAACTGGAAGTGACCGACAGATAGGGAACGTCTCGGTTACATATGTAACCCTCGTTCCCTGATGGAGGGAATGGAGACGTTATGTCCCCATGCCCCAACCTCAAACCATCGCTGGTTGCCAGGGACAAGTTCTCGGCTCCTCAGCATAAAACCTGATGAGTGGATGCCTATCGCCTATTTATACCCATATGCATGGGGAGTGGCTCAGGTATGCAAAATCCACTAGCCAAATTTCATTGCTGATTTCTCTTAATCAGAGAGGATTCGGGCTCCCAAGTAAGACCCCTAATGTCATCATCGACATAATGTCTCCGTTCCCTCCATCAGGGAATGAGGGTTACGTGCGTAACTGAGACGTTTCGAGTTCTACTATGATATTTTATCTCCAAAGATCAAGCAATATGATTCCTCATGATACAACACCCACTGAAGTAGCCTGGCTTCTCGTATAGTATGAGAAGTATACAGTATGTCAGTATTCAGGCTTTCAGTGTCTCCAATTACAGGCAAACTCAAAGGCAAACTTACCAGATGTGGCCAAAATGAGCCAAACCCCAGCCTGAGAATCCTTGAACTGTCCTCCTTGCTCCTCATAATTAAAACCATCAGTGATATGACTCATTCATGTGACAATGAAATTTAATTTTAATAATCAACTGAAAATATTACTTAACAATGGTCTAAAAAGAGAACAATATGGACACTAGTGAATGGAAATCCAAACAGACAGGAATGGGGAAAAAAGATAAATGGATGACAGGTGTCTTGATTATCAGTTTGGCGTTGCATACTTTGACTCAAAGAAAACAAAATTAATAAAAAAAAAATCTCATGTCAAAACACATGGGATTTGTGAAAAAAAAACATTTACAAATATTTGTCTCAACATAAACTGCAGTGAACAGCTCTCTTGGAGACATAACAACACTGTAGATTTCGACAGTTTCATCTGTAAATCTAAAGGTGGGGCCGTGATTCTCATAGAAGAACACATCGGAAACGACGGGCCGAATCGCTCACCTCCGGGCCCAAAACAGCTGTGCTGTCACTAGGTGTGTCCTCCTCATAGCCCTTATTCAGGTAACTCACTGTGTCCTCAGGGTCTTCACTGCCCTCACTGATTTCACTTCCACTGCCCTCTGCTGAGTCACTGCGGCCCCTTGAGCCACCCTTGAGATCATCTTTGTCCCGGTACGGTGGAGGCTGAAGTTCATTCAGGGAACTTGAACCTTTTTTCCTTTTAACTGGATAGCAAGACAGAAATGCAATAAGATTACATCCTGATTACAGAATAATTAAGAGTATTTCATCAGACAGACAGTGTACAATATTTACCCTGATCAGCAGAGGCCTCACTGCTGCAATCCTCATTCGCAGCATCCCTGTCTCTCCACCCACTTCTCTGATCATGAGAGGATGAGTCCTTGTGTCTTTTTGGTGTTTCGTCCTTGCTCTCAGATGATCCTTTTTCTGGACAACCCCCATCTAAGAAAGAGGAGATCTACAAATTCAGATTCTAAAAATGCCCTTAAATATCTTACAGTAAAGCTTTTGCAGACCAGTTGTATGAAAGAGGAGAAGAAGTCCTTATTCTTTTTTCCTACCCTCTTATAATTTCAAACACATGTGCTGGTATTTTAAGACAAACATTTAAAGAATCTTTAGATTTCATAGCTACCAGCTTCAAAAAGAAAAAAAGCACACACACACACAAATGTCACTTTGATAGTTTATGTAAAGTAGAAAAGACGAAAGACACAGAAAGAAGCGATAGAAATTTAAGTAATTAATCACTTATAATCTTGCAAATTCTCCCCAGATGCTTGCAACAAGCCGGTATTTGCATGCGGTATTTAAAAACTCCAAAAGAAACAGCTTTAGCAAAGTTTGGCACAACATGAGACTAACATAAATTTTAAAGGTGAAGTGTATAATTTCTGAGACACTGGCGGTACCAAACAAACCACTGGTATCAAACACAAAATAATTATTGTTTCCAAACAGGTTTCCCGCACACTCAAACCTTCACCACACCCCAAACCCACTTCCAATGTTTGAGCAAACAGGTAACACCACCACAAAAGTGATATGCTTTGTTGAGCTAGAAGTTAAAAAGTTGGCTACAGTATTTTACTCTTCGAGATGTCAGCCAATAAATGGCTTAAAGTTATCTCTAAATGTCAAATTTGGATATGAAAGTATTTTAACAGCGAAAACTTTACACCCTTCACCTATAAATAGGAAAACACCAGTAAAAACAGGGCCGTCAATAAAATTCACATGGTCTGGGACACAATTTTTATAGTTCTGCCCCATCTTTCCTGGGTCCATTGAGTAGGTCAGGGATGCTCATTCCTGTTTTTGAAGATCTGTCTTTCTAAAGAGTTCCAAGCCTGCTATAACATAAATGTTTGTAACTATCAAGTGTTCCTGAAAGTCTTCAGTATCTGGTTCAAGTGTATTTGATTAGGGTTGAAGGTTAACTATGCCAGAAGATAGATCTCCAGGTACAAGTCTGAGCAAGAGTACCTCCAACTCTGCACATTATGGCCACATTTACATCACATGGTTCAAGTGACCAATTACGTTTTATTGTTCTCCCATACAGCACAGATTGGATATCACCTATGAACATGTAAGCAGGAAAAAATCTCACGTATTCTGATATTCTCAGATCGGTTTTGGGTTGGGGGTACTCAGGGACCAGGGATGGGAAACACTACCATAGAGTGGGCCATCCTGGTCACAAGACAATTTTCTTAGTAGTTCTCCAATTATGATGGCCCTAGTCAGGAGTAAGACAGCAAATATTATAAAGAGAAATATTCATTTGTGTGTCCTTGGTTGAAGACTAGTGTGGAATCAAGGGAACAATGAAAAACAAAGAGAACCAGTGATATAGATCCATCTCATCAGAAGAGCACAACACGGCAAGTCCAGCATACAGTCTCACCTTTACCTCCTTGGTATTTTCTTCTGCATGTACCATCTTCTTCAACACTATTGTGCTCTCCATCCTTTTCATGCTTTGATGCTGATATATCAGTATCACCAGAAATTTCCTGAGAGTCCTGACTATTACTTGGGTCCATGCCATTAGCATTTTCATTGTGGTTGTCACCTTCATTCTTGTGTTTGCCAGAAGAGGAAGCATTCTCTTCCTGAGCGACAGACTCTGCCTCTTTTGATGCCTGGTCACTGTTCTCTTTCTGATTGTCTGAGGTCGGAGATGAGCTTTGTGGTTGGTTTGGGTCCCTCCTTTTACGATACCAACCTTTAGAGGGAGCGTAACACCACTCCCACTCCTCCTCCTCAGCTTTTCTTTCTTTCTCCCTCTGGACTTCCTCTTCAACTATTTCAATAGTCCACATAGAGTTCTTTTTTGATTTTCTGCTTTTTCGACCTTCTCCACTTTCTGCAGCATTACCTTCTGTCTCTTGATGCTTCAGCTTGCTGTTCCGCCTCTCATTTTGGACTTCTTCTGAAGAACCTTCAGTATCCTCTTTCCTGGATTTGTCATCCTCTTCGGTCTGTACTTTGTTGATGATTGTATTGACCTGCTCCGTTAGTTGGTCACTGACAGTGTAGGTGGCATCACTCACCGCAGAGGACAAATCATCTACGGCAGTTGAGACGGTGTTTGAGACAGTGTCCAGGAGGGAACTGACAGAAGGAAGGCTCTGTTGGAAGCTCTTGAAAAATGCCATTTCTTTGTGCTTTTGTTGTGTCTGCTAACTGATCACAAATTCTGTTGAAGAGTCAGCTCATAAATTAATCTTTAGGATCTTTTACCAGTAACATTTCGTTTATAAGCATGTCTTATTTAAGGAACAAGGATGACATACAAGTGTTTTAAAACCTAGTGATCTAACATCTACTGCCTATATGGCCAACATTCTAAACCAGGGGTGCCTAAACTCAGTTCTGGAGGGCCACTGTCCTGCAAAATGTAGCTCCAACTTGCCTCAACATATCTGCCTAGACGTTTCTAGTATGCCAGGTAAGACTTTGATTAGCTGGTTCAGTGTGTTTAACTGGGGTTGGAGCTAAACTTTGTTGGACAGTGGCCTTCCATTAGCAGGATTGGACACCCCTGTTCTAACCAAAATTCACGAGTTTGCACTTACATATAATCAAATACAGCAAACAGTATGAATATTTCGCATGCTGTCTGAGTGGAGGGATCCGAGCTCTAAATTTAGCCCAAACCCAGAGGACTCCCCCATATCCCAAGCTGGGATAGAAATAGTTAGGAGTGAGCAGTTGGGGTAGAGGAGGGATGCCAAAAAACTCTTGTTAGATAATGGTAAGTTGGCTGTATATATATTTATGCTGCGTTCCAGACAACTCAAAATTAGGATTTTCCCCACCTCCTACTTGGAAATAACGTATGGAACACTGCTTGAAGTCGGATATCCGACCTGTGAACTCAGGGCAGATTGATCTACCCCGACCTCAACAAAGCGTAATTTGACGTCACTGCTTCCAACGAGCATAGTGTTCCAAGGAGCTACCTTATGTCAAACTTAAAAACATTAGACATTACGTTTATAATACCTTAATTTTAGCTTTTCATCAGCTGTTTTCAAAACTAAAGGCAGTATTTTGTTTGGTTTTTTTTCTTTGACAGAGATATGTTAACGTGATGTGCGATTGACTGGAACTCATGACTTCAACTGAAGTTGAAAGTGGGACTTTTCAACTCGTATGTTCCCTTTTCTGACATTTTCTGGAACGCAGCATTACTATCGTGCTAACTTAGTTGATTATCTGAACATGCTCCACCTGTGCTAAATTGGTGATTGATCAGAATTGGCCATATTTTAAATAGTTTTCTGTCAGGACCACTATCGTCACAGATGATTGACAACTAGCATACAGCTTGGTTTGTCGGTATGGTTCCGTTCTGGGCAAGAACTCCCTGCGCATCCATGCAGCCTAGC